GCGTCTCGGGGCCTTCGTGGGCCGTCTTGGAGGCCTCTTGGGGGCTTCTTGGCCCGTCTTGAGTCCCTCTTGGGCCCGGAAAAGCCCCGTGAACCGCACGAAACCTGATACATAATATGGTTTGCGAATACGGTCCTCGCTCAGGCGGGGCCTCCCTGGAGCGGTGGGAGGGGCACGAAACCTGATAAATAATATGGTTTGCGAATACTGTCCTCGTTCTGGCGGGGCCTCCCTGGAGGGGTGGGAGGGGCACGAAACCTGATAAATAATATGGTTTGCGAATACTGTCCTCGCTCAGGCGGGGCCTCCCTGGAGCGGTGGGAGGGGCACGAAACCTAATAAATAATATGGTTTGCGAATGCTGTCCTTTCTCAGGCGGGGCCTCCCTGGAGGGGTGGGAGGGGCACGAAACCTGATAAATAATATGGTTTGCGAATACTGTCCTCGCTCAGGCGGGGCCTCCTGGAGCGGTGGAGCGGTGGGAGGGGCACGAAACCTGATAAATAATATGGTTTGCGAATACTGTCCTCGCTCAGGCGGGGCCTCCCTGGAGCGGTGGGAGGGGCACGAAACCTGATAAATAATATGGTTTGCGAATACTGTCATCGCTCAGGCGGGGCCTCCCTGAAGCGGTGGGAGGGGCACGAAACCTGATAAATAATATGGTGTGCGAATACTGTCCTCGCTCTGGCGGGGCCTCCCTGGAGGGCAGGTAGGTATTGTATGGTATTGTATGGTGTGGTAGGTATGCGGTGATGGCAGGTAGGTATTGTATTGTATTGTATGGTGTGGTAGGTATGCGGTGATGGTGTATGATTTCCTACGTGCTTGCCTGACTTCGGTGGTCTGCTATAGTATGGTATGGTATTGTATGGTATGGTATAGTAGGGTAGGAATAGGAAGAGGGAGCGAGCGTGGTAGGTAGGTATTGTATGGTATTGTATGGTGTGGTAGGTATGCGTTGATGGTGTATGTATGGTTTCCTAAGGTGGTATGGTAGGTACGGTGGTCTGCTATAGTATGGTATGGTATGGTATAGTATGGTATGGTAGGAGTAGGAAGAGGGAGCGGTATTGTATGGTATGGTATAGTATGGTATGGTAGGAATAGGAAGAGGGAGCGGGAGGTGGGAAGGTGGGAAGGTGGGAAGGTGGGAAGGTGGGAAGGAGAGGGTGTCCTGGGAAAACAAGAACCCCACTCAGGATGTGGGGAAAAACGACTCAGAGGGGGGGCCGCCCAGCCGAATCCAAGGCAGGAGGCGTGCGGCGCTTTGTCAGCTATGATGGCCATGGACTAGCTCGCCAGTGTATACCTCCCAATACGATGCGGGCATGACATCCGTCACTTGTATTCGCTTTATAAAGTTGAGCGGAATGATAAAGGTAAGATCGTCCGCGCAAACAGGCACGGGCACCAAGGCGCCGGAGAACCTTCAGAAACGGGACCTCAAGGGGGCCATCACCATGGGCCGGAAGAAATACCGGGTTTTGTCTGTACTTGCGAATATTTTGCCGACCGCAGACTTGGGTGCCCGATGAGGCGCCCGTCCAGGGACCCTATCTTCAAAAGAACCCCATGGGTCTGGCCCCATGGCGATGGTCTGGGCCGCAGCGTGGATCCGACAAATCATCCACCTGAAGAATGTTTGACGGACGCTGACTACCAGCCTGTTGCTGAGAAGGACAGAGCTCGGGCCGAATGGATCTGGGAGCACCTTGTTCCGAATCATTACCTTAAGGTATATAATCGAGAGTAGGGCAGCCCGCTTCTTCCAAACGAGAATGTACTGGCCAGCCAGATGGCGATGAAGGGGCTGGCAACCTGGTCCTTGCCACAGCAGTGGTCCCCACAGAGGCCGCCCCTTCAGGGTCTGGCTCGTGCTACTCCGACTTGGCCTGCACCTCCGACGTGGACTGCGCCCGCGACGCTGACCCAATAATAGGTGATCGTGACGGGATGACAGAAGGTATGTGCCTTCTCCCTAGCAGGAAAATCGCTTACCACGGTGGAAGGGGTAGGTTGGATGCGAACCCCTTTTTTTGTGAGAAGGGTTGCTGCTGATAAATACGATTCGGGTTGCAGAAGTAAGGTCGAGATCAAGAACATGGCGCTAAGAAAGCCTGTTCAGCCGGCTGTCCCTGGCGCTGGGAGTAGGGCCGGGCACTCTTCAGCGGGGGCGCCCGCAGCGGAGCAGCTAAGGGGACCTCCTCCGAAATTGAAGCCAGGGGGGAAAATTGACTTATCCCCATCTTCGCACTCATCGAGCCCGCGCAAGTCGCGCGAACCCGACCCGCTGGCGCCACCGCTCAAGCAGAAGAAGAGGACCAGTCCAGATGATGCCAATCCTGGTAGCAGTATGTCTCGGCGTTCTGCGGGGGCACCCGCTGGGAGACATCGCTCCAGAGGGCCGGCAGTGGCCGCCGCGGCAGCGGCGTTCCAGGGCGACGGCGCGCCTACACGAGAGGATCCTGCACGTCGGCGCGGGCCGACGCTTGGCAGGACTCACAGGACAGGCTGGGCGCCATCACTGGAAGGACCTTCCAAGAATGCCTCTTCGTCAAAGGGCGGTGCTAAGTTCAAGTTGTTGGAGAGTACCTCAGAGGCATCGGGGGCGGCCCCCGAGATCAGTGGATGCCAGTGCTTCGACATTCGTGCGAAGGGCAAGACATCTGGGGGCGCAAGCTCATCAGCCGCGCCGGCAGCGCTTGCAGTGTCTGAGCCACTGAGGATGCGTGGCGAACCAGCCGTTGCTTCTGCGGGGCAGCCCGCCGTTGTTCTCGAAGTGCTTGAGGAATGCGTGCGGTATTGGGAGCAACTGGGCACTGTCAACCGAATGAAGATCAACCCAGCGTACAAGCCCTTCACTGACGACGGGTCTGACCGTTACGTCGTGGTGCAGTGCGTCGCCCAGTGCGCTGCTGCGCGCGCTGACGACGCGGCTCGCGCGCGTCGGGTTGTTCGCGGCGTCATGCGGGGAGGACCTGCCTTCAGTTATGAGTCCGAGAAGAAGTGCCTGAGGGGGGTCCTCAAAGAGGCGGAAGTCAGCGCAGCAAAACTGGATGATCAGGACAAGCGTGAGTGTTCGGAGTGGCTCACTACCGCAATTCGCCAGAAACCGTTCTATCTCGACCAGCTTTCTGATAGGTTCGTCACGTCGGTCGCTTCCTTCGACGAGCGCGACGGCCGGGTAGCAAGGCTCATGGACCAAATTGATTAGAATAGTAAAGAGAAACTATACAAGTGCTGTACACCTTTGCATCCACACAAGGGTGGATAAAAAGGAGCTCGAACTTGCGTTCAGTCTCCTAAGAGTGGCCCTGAATGGGACATGTCGTAAGAAGGGCGACGATGAGTCTTGACGACAGTACTGTTGTACAAGATATCAAGATTCAGGACCAACCTATCGGTTCCAAGTACAATGCGCCGTTACCGGATGCTGTGACAAACATTGGTGCTCGACTTTGCTGGGAACCGCCGGCGCTGGTTCTCATCGGACAAGAGGACCAGCGACCACGCCCAAGGCGGGTTGCGTTCGTCGATGACGATCGTCTTCCCCCCCTCGATTGCGCGTGGCCGCGTGCTCCCCCCTATTCCCGAATTTCCGACATACAATGCACCCGACGCAGAACAACAGACAGCACTACCGACATATGCCCGGATCAAACAAAAGGAAAAGCACAAGGCCGGCAAAGAAGCGGGCATCCAACCACGCAAAAAGCTGTAAGTTATGTGGTTCAATCTATGTGGTGTAAGCTACGCGGTGCAATCAATGGTGCAACGTGTGTGATGTAAGCTATGTGGTTCAATATATGTGGTCAGTCTAAGCGGTACAATCTATGCAATGCAAAGCAATTCAAATCATTGCAAATCAATGCAAAGCAGAGCAAACCAACGCAAATAACGCATTGCTCATCAATGTAACGCAATGCAGATAAACGCAACACTTTGCAAAGTGTCGCAGGCCCAGACGGCGACGGAACGGCGACGGCGACCACATAGCCGCCAGACCGACAAGCAGACCCAGAGCGACGGCGCGGTGACGGCGACCACAGCCGCCAGACCCACGGGCAGGTCCAGAAGACGGGCGGCGACGAGGCGGCGACGGGGCGGCGACGGCGACAACATAGCCGCTATACTGACGGGCAAGCCCTGCTCTTTTGGACATGAAGTAATACCCCAAGTGCAAGCGCTGTTTTTGGAGTTCGTGTGCTATATTTCGGGTCGGACGTGCGCCTCCGATGGGGGGCGCGCAGCGCTCGTATGTTTAGTTGCGTCCCATTTGAGACCCTCCCCGCGCAGCGCGTCAGGCCAACACAGGCCTGCTAGTGTGTACTTCGAGCCTCTCCCAAGGTGGCTGCAAGATGGCTGCAGGCGGGACGCCCGCATCGGTCAGACCTCTCAAGGGTAACCCCGCAACGGCCCACGAGACTCGGAGGAAGGCGACGACGAGGGCACGAACACAGATGAGGGAACGAACGACCAGCCTCTCCCTGAGACCCCCGACGTCATGATTTTTCGCAGCGTCGACCTTCAGAGGTCTCGACCCCTCCTCCAGGACCGGTTTTTCACCCAGAGGCGCTTCTCGACGGCCCCGAGGCCTTCCAAGGACCCCCAGAGGCCGAAAACACGGCCAAACCTTCCGTCGTGTGTGTTTTTGTTCCATCACCCCGTATGCTTGCAGTGCCCGCGCCGGGCCCCGCCTGCGCCCAGGGCGCCCCCCCCCCCGCCGCCGCCCCGTCTGCCCCCTCCCCGTTCGGGCCCGCTGGCCAGGTCGTTTCCGGAGGCCCCCCGTGCTGCCTTCCTCGCTGGTGCAGCCGACTCTGCCCCGCCGCCGACGAAGCAAGTTCGTTCCATCACTCGAGGGGGGTCTGGGCCCCGCGCAGCGCCGCAGGCCCGCTCGGCCTCCCGGACGCCCTCGCTCCCATCGCGCCCGGCGTCGTCCTGCAGCAGCGCCGTGGGCAGCGCCGTGGGCTCCGCCAGGCTGGGCACCCCGCAGGGCACGACCAGGGCGCACGGCGCGGGGTCGTCCGCCGTTCGGGGGGGTCTTCCTCTTCATCCTTTCCTGCCTCCTCCTCCTCCTCCTCCTCCTCTTTTCCTGCCTCTTCCTCCTTTTGTCTCCTCCTCCGCCTCCTCCTCCTCCTCCTCCTCCTCCTCCTCCTGCCTCCTCCTCCTTTTGTCCTCCTCCTCCTCCTCCTCCTCCTCCTCCTCCTCCTTCCTCCTCCTCCTCCTCCTCCTCCTCCTCCTCCTCCTCCCTCTCCTGCCTCCTCCTCCTCCTGCCTCCTGCTCCTCCTCCTCCTCGTCCTCCTCCTCGTCCTCCTCCTCGTCCTCCTCCGCCTCCTCCGCGCCGGGGAGAGGAGGTCAGAGGAGGAACAAGTGCCGCTGATGCTACCCTTCCCTCGTTTTTGCCTTCTTGAGCCTCCTGGGAGGCCCTCGTCGCCACAGGTGGATTCGCCTCGAGATTCTGGTCAGAACGCGCCCGGGGAGAGGTCTGAGGAGTAGCGGTATCGGTTCCCATTGGTTTTCCCAAGCAGTTCGCCGCTTCGGAGTCGGGCTCTGGGATCTTGAGGACCTCTCGAGGAGTGGTGGACGTGAATGTCCGCTCCGCCCGCCTCTGCGAGCAGGAACGTACTGCAGGCTCGCGTCGTATTGACGCGGCGGCGACCTGGGCGTCTGCCTTGTTGGTTGAACGCCGCTATTGGCCAGGAATCGGCCGACATCCAATGGTCTGCGCTATCAGAACGCCGCGATCGTTCAAGATCGAGCGATCCGCGCGGTGTCAGAAACCAACGCCCAAGTCGTCACGACAGCGAGGAGGATGGCGGCGGCCGCGGCGGCGGATGACGGACGGCGGACGACGGACGACGAGTGACGGCGACGAATCACGGCGACGAACAGCGACGACGACGGACGCCAACAGATGGCGCGTGATGACGACGGACGGCGGACGACGGACGACGGCGGACGGCCACGACGGCGACGAAGAACGACGACGGACGACGACGGCGACATCGACGGCCGGCGACGGCGGACGACGTCCGGCGGGGGCGGCGGTGCGGCCGTATCCTTCGGTAGCAAAGCATGGGAACCTTGCACACCCTCGGCATCACCCTAACATACTTATACTATATGTGCTTCGCCCCCCCGGAGGCGACGCGCGCACCGAGAAATCTTATAGTATATGCGTCGTGGGGGGCGCTTTCTGGCCACACCGCTCGGGAAACGATATACTACAAGATGGGTATACTATATGTTCGGGTCGGACGCGCGCCTCCAAGGAGGACATATAGTACTAGTATGTCTTTGTGCTTCCCACACCCTCGTAACTCCCTCTTTAGTCTGCATTAGCGTCGATTAGCGTTTGGTATTCGATGAGGCAGCCCCGATTTAGCGTCGGGTGGTGTCGGTTAGCGTCGATTCAGCGTCGGTTGCCGTCGTTTAGCGTCGATAAGCGTTGTTTTGCAAGTGTGAGGCGAGTCCCAGGCCCCGAGGCTCGAGGCGCGAGGACGGGGCCGGGGGGTCGAGGCTTGAGGATGCAGGTTATTGGAGGATTTTCGCCTCTTCCTCCTCCCCTCTTCCTCTGCTTCTTGCTCCTGCGCCTCCCCCTCCGCCTCCTCCTCCTCCTCCTCCTCCTCCTCCTCCTCTTCCTCTCGTCTCCACGGCTTGGTTCACCGAGGATTGTTGGCCGGAGCGCGTCACAAGAAAGGTCTGCGGGCCAATTTTTATGCGATTGGTGGGCGAAGGAGGAGGAGGAAAAGGAGGTGGGGGAGGAGGAGGTGGAGGCGGATGTGGAGACGTAGGCGGTGGAGGAGGATGAGGAGGAGGAGAAGGAGGAGGAGGGAGCTGGGAGGAGGATTGCTTCACTCCTCGTCCATCGTCATCGTCGTCGTCGTCGTCGTCGAGCTCCTCCTCCCGAGGGGCATGGGGTAGGGGGGGGCAGGGCAGAGTCAGCGAGGCTCTATGTATTCCTCTTAGTGGATTTCTGTAGGGACGAGGGGTTAACGCAGGACATCGACTGGCCTTTTGTCCATGTAATCAGGCGAATGTGCCCGGCCTCCCATCCGTGTAGCTGCTGGAAATACCAGGCTTCGGAATCGCGCGTTGTACGGAAGTCTCAGGTGAGACGCCCAGCCCAGCTCAGGGACACGTCTGGTGGTGCGACAAGGTGGAGTTGCTTGTAAGGAAGAGGGATGGAGAGAGGAGAATGTTGAGAGCGTTCGGCACAGGCATGGTGAGAACGCGCAGCGAAGTGGCCAGCCAGTCTAGATAGATTTCAAGCCGAATAACGAGTCGAAGCGAAAGGTGGAGGGAGGGGGAGAAAGGAGGGGGTAGGAGGAGTGTGTGTGTGTGTGTGATGTGTGTGTGTGTGTGATGTGTGTGTGTGTGTGTGATGTGTTTGTGTGTGTGTGTGTGTGTTGGAGGCTAGCAGCGGGGCCAGGAGGTGCAGAGGGGCTGGCTGCCCCGCGACCCCTGCCGCGAGAAGCCAGGTCGAGGGCGGCCCTGGGCCTCTCGTTGCCGCTCTCGCGGCGGCGGAGGACTCCGACCTGCTGATGATGAGGCTGCTGTTGCTGCTGCTGTTGATGATTCTGACGACGATGATGCTGCTGCTGATCAAGGGCTCCCACGAGGGCGCGAAGTTATTCGTGGTTCGCGCTTCGCGGTCCTCGTTCCTTCTCCCCCTCCTCCTCGTCCTCCTTTTCTCCCTTTGGGGGGGCGGCGCGAGAGCGCGAAGTTATTCGCGCTTCGCGCTTCGCGGAGCGCGAAGCGCGAAGTTGGGAGCCCTTGCTGATGATGATGAGGATGCTGATAATGGTGATGGTGAGGAGGAGGAGGAGGAGGAGGAGGAAGATTACGATTCAGATGATGCTGCTGATGATGATGATGCTGCTGATGATGATGATCAGGGTGCTAATCTGTGTGATGATGAGGAGGAGGACGACGATTCGGAGGATGATGATGCTGATGATGATGCTGATGATGATGGTGATGCTGCTGTTGCTGCTGCTGATGATGATGCCGACGACGATGATGAGGATGCTAATGATGGTGATGGTGAGGGGGATGAGGAGGATGACGATTCGGATGATGATGATGATGCTGGTTTTGATGACGAACATGATGATGATGATGATGATGATGATGATGATGATGATGATGATGATGATGATGATGATGATGATAATGCTGATCATGATGATGATCATGATGATGAAACTGATGCTGATGATGATGCGGCTGCTGTTGATGATGAGGATGATAATACTTGTGATCATGATGCTTATGGTGATGCTGCTCCTCAAGATGATGATAACGGTGCATGGTGATTAGGTTCACATTGCTGCGGACGATGATGTTGATGATGATTGTGACAGTGAGAGAGACGACGATGACAATGATGACGACGACGATGCCGATGACGATGACGATGATGATGATGATGCTGCTGCTGGTGCTGCTGCTGACGATGATGATGACGACGATGATGATGGTGATGATGATGATGCTGATGGTGATTATGATGATGCTCATAATGGTGGTGGTGAGGTGGATGAGGAGGAGGATGACGATTCGGGTGATGATGCTGATGATGATGACGATGATGACGATGATGCAGATGATGATGATGATGATGATGATGATGATGATGATGATGATGATGATGATGATCAGGATGGTGATGATGCTGATGCTGATGATGATGATGACGATGATGCTGCTGATGATGATGATGATACTGATGCTGATGATGATGACGCTGATGATGATGAGGATGAGGGTGCTAATGCTCGTGATGATGATAAGGAGGAGGAGGAGGAGGACGACGATTCGGGTGATGATGCTGATTATGATACTGATGATGACGATGATGATGATGATGATGATGATGATGATGATGATGATGATGATGATGATGAGTATTATGACGCTGACGGTGATGATGCTGATGCTGATGACGATGACGGTGATGATGATGATGATGATGATGCTGATGATGATGATGATGCGGCTGCTGATGAGGAGGAGGCTGATACTAATTGTGGTTATGATGCTGATTGTGATGATGCTGCTGAAGATGCTGATTACGATGACTGTGATTAGGTTGACAGTGCTGCGGACGATGTTTATGATGATGGTGACAATAAGATAGATACCGATGACGATGACGATGATAATGACGACGACGATGCCGATGACGATGACGCTGATGATGCTGCTGTTGCTGCTGCTGATGACGATGATGACGACGACGATGGTGATGATGATGATGCTGATGATGATGATGATGATGAAGGTGCTCATAACAGTGATGGTGAGAAGGATGTTGAGAGGGACGACGATTCAGGTGATGATGATGCTGCTGATGATGATGGCGATGATGCTGATGGTGATGAGGATAAGGCTGATTAGGATGCGAATAATTGTGATGATGATGAGGGGGAAGAGGACGACGATTCGGATGATGATGATGGTGATGATGATGCTGATAATGGGTGGTGGTGATGATGATGACGGCGATGGTGATGCTGATGATGATGAATATTAATGCCGCTACCAATGATGATACTCAATCGCTTCCCCGGGAGTGCCCCCCTTCTTAACCCTTGAGTGGTTATTATCCCTGGGGCAGACAGATTTGATTTGTGGAGAGGGGCGGCGAGGCCGAACTTGATTATCGCGGGGGGAAGTTGCGAACCGAAGTTGTTATTTTCCTTTGTTGCCTACCAACATCATCAAAAACGCTGGGCATGGCAAGCGCTGCCGCCCAGGCCTGCAGCAAGTGCCTGCTGTGCCAGGACGGCACCAAAGGGTACCGATCCTGCATGGGCGAATGGTTCGAAGTGGTACGCAAGAGATGTTTCTTGGCCAGGAGCGCCAAGGACCTCTCCAGCGCAGGCCACCTTGAAGCGCGAGGCTCGAGGACACCAAGGACAGTTTTGTGCGAGGATCTAGTTTCACGAATGCCCCGGATCATTATCACCATCATCATCATCATCACCATCATCCTCCGCCGGGAGAATCGTTGATTATGCCCCCTCAGACCCCGCACTTTATTTTCCCCATGGGTTTGATATCACGGGTAGTCGGTTGTAACACAGACGGTAATACTGATGATGATCATACAACTAATGATTAAGTTAACGATGCTACTGATAATGATACTGATGCTGCTGCTGTTGTTGTTGTTGTGGTTGTTAGGGGTTATTGTTTTTGTTGTCGTTGGTGTTGTTGTTCTTGGTAATAAGAATGGTTGACGATGGTGATGATGACGATGATGATGACGAGGGTTATGGTGATGATGATGATGATGATGATGATGATGATGATGATGATGATGATGATGATGATGATGATGATTGTGGTAGTGGTGATGTTGATGCGTATGATGATGAGGCTTCGGTCCGGTTCTGGACCCCCGCGGCTTTATTCTGTGTGAAAACGGGGGATGATGGTTGAGGGGGAGTGGCTCCTGCCGATGGAATTCCCCCAGGATGGGAAGGCTCTTTGCGCTCTGGGGGCAAGACCCTGCGAGTTGGGAGAGCGAGGGAAAGAGAGAGAGAGGGGGGGGGAGAGAGGGAGAGAGAGAGAGAGAGAGAGAGAGAGAGAGGGGGGGAGGGATGAAGGGAGGGAGGAAGGGAGGGAGGTAGCGAGGGAGGGAGGGAGCCAGGGAGGGAGGGAGGGGGGAGGGAGAGAGCGAGAGAGACTCACCATCATGGACATGGCGGGTTTGCGGCCCTCCTCCGCGCTCGGCGTTCCTCCCTTCCTCTTCCCTCTCCTCCTCGTCCTCGTCCTCCTCCTCCTCCTCCTCCTCCTCCCCCTTCTTTTCCTCCTCCTTCTCCTCCTCGCCTTACTCCTTCTCTTGCTCCCATCAGCCCTCCTCGGTCTCCTCCTTCTCCTCCTTCTATCGCTCATGCCCCTCTTCCTCCTCCTCAAATCTCGTACGTGGGAGGCGGACGTAGAGGGAGGAGACGGAGGGATGAGGATGATGTGGGGGAGGGGGGACGAGGAGCCGCCAGAGGGGATGCACATGAGGAGGCGGATGTCGAGGTGCTTGAAGGGATTGTCCTTATCATCATCCCGTCCCCCCTTCCTCCACCCTCCTCCTCTTGTAATGGAAATTGGATGAGGGTCCGCCGATTTGCCTGAGTGGTGCCACCGAATTGCAGAAATGTAGCAAATCCCATGTGTTTTTGGACCCTGACCCCGCCGATCTGCGTGAGGGGTGCCACCGAATATCAGACATGTTGCAAATCCTGTGTGTTTTTGGACCCTGGCCCCGCCCATCTGCGTGAGGGGTGTCAATTTTAACCCACCCCAGGAATTCAGACAATACGATTTCTCCGTGGCAAAAATGTCAGTTTTGGGCCTCCCCCCTCGCGCGGTCCATCAACAAGGAACAGTAAGCAGCAAGAAGACAACAAGGAACAGTAAGCAGCAAGAAGCAAAACTGTGACAGTGGAAACTGGAAGCTGCAGCAGGTACAGGAAACTGCGGACCTCCGGCCTACAGCCTGGTGGCCCCACAAGGGGGCTGGCGGATTCGTATTGTTATTGTTATGTTCACGGAACGGCTGCTTATGATGTTGATTTTGTTGGTTATGCTCGAGATGACGATGACGATGGCGACGCCGATCACGATATTGATGATGATGCCGATGCTGATAGTGGTGGTGGTGTTGATGATGATGGGCATGGGGACGACTATGGTAAAGGTGGTGATGACGAGGATGACCACGATGATGGTGATGGTGTTGACGACGATGGCGATGATGATGGCGATGACGATGACGATGACGTTGACGATGATGCTGCTGGCGATGATGATGCTAATGGGACTGCTGATGACGATGATTATAATGATGATGGTGATGACGACGATGATGATGCTGATGCCAACGATGATGATGATGATGGTGCTGATGATGCTAATGATGGTGATGATGATCGATGGTGATGATGCTGCTGATGATGACGATTATGATGACGACCATTATGACGATGACGCCGATGACGACTATGATGATCATGAGTATGATGATGATGCTGCTGCTGCTGCTATTGATGATGATGCTGATGATGATGCTGCTGCTGATGATGATGATGACGGCAAGGATAATGACGACGACGAGGACGATGATGATGATGCTGTTGCAAATAATGCTAATGATGATGACGATGATGATGATGCTGATGGTGATGATGGTGGTGGTGATGCTGCTGCTGCTACTACTGCAGATGATTAGGCTGATGATGATGAGGAGGAGGGTGATGCTGATGATTAGATCGATGATGATGGTAATTTATAATGAAAATGATGATGGTGGTGATGATGATGATGCTGATGAGGATGATGCTGATGACAGTGATGATGACGCTGCTGCTGCTGCTGATGATGATGATGATGAAGAAGATGAAGATGAAGATGAAGATGAAGATGAAAATGAAGATGAAGATGAAGACGAAGGTGAAGATGAAGATGAAGGTGAAGGTGAAGATGAAGAGGAAGAGGAAGACGAAGATGAAGATGAAGATGAAGATGAAGATGATGATGATGATGATGATGATGATGATGATGATGATGATGATGATGATGATGATGATGATGATGATGATGATGATGATGATGATGATGATGCTGATGATGATGATGATGATGCTGATGATGATGATGATGATGATGACGATGTGGGGTGGGGTGGGCGTGGGGTGGTTGTTTGGTGGATTGGAAGAGAAAGGCGATACCTATGAGGAGGATGGGAGATGGTCATGATGATGGTCCGTATCGTGATGATGGTTCTGATTATGAGGGAGACGGACGAGGGGAACGAGCACGAGGAGAGAGGAGTGGTAGGAGCATTCGGGTCGAGCCAGAGAGACCGCATAAGCCAGCGTAACTGCCCCTTCTCCAGCCGCGGCTCCGCGCACGGGCTCGCCCAGTGGCGCCCCCCTCCCTCCAAAAACCCGCTTTAAACATCAGGAGGAGAGGAAGGAGGAGGAGGAGGAGGAGGAGGAGGAGGAGGAGGAGGAGTAGAAGAAGAAGGAGGAGGACCAGTGTAAACCCAAGACGCATCAACGATGTTGCAATCAACGCTCCCTTCACGTCCCCTTGTCATAGGTCCTTACACTTATTCATTTTCAGTGAGGGAAGTCCTCCCTTGAAGACAGCCGTCTGAGAATCCTCGATCGTGCCAACTCAGAATTCCTGGGACTTCAACGCCGCGAAGCAACGTGATTGTTATGTCCTGACAGTCATCAGTCGTGCCATGTTGCCAGTCCTGGGCCTTCTCACACTGCGAATCAACGATACGCATGCTTCCTGACAGTCGTCCATCGTGCCAGAACACCGTTCTTGGGACTGAGGAGGAGGAGGAGGAGGAGAAGGAGGAGGAGGAGGAGGAGGAGGAGAAGGTTCAGGAGGAGGTTCAGGAGGATACAGAAGGCGCAGCTGGCTGTCCAGGCCTCTGCGTGGGCGTAACATTCAGGTCTGCTGTGCCTGGGGATGCGGTGGCGCTGGCTTCAACGGCGAAGCACTAGGGCTGAGGGCTCCATCAACGCCGCCGCCGAAGCTGACAAGCGCCAGTACTGGCCAGCAGGCCGATGCCCCTCCTCGCAGCAGGAGGACGAGGATCGCTCCGCGGCGGTGTCGAGCGCTTTGGCGCAGCGCTGGGGCGCAGAGCTCAGCGTTGCGCGCCACGCAGCTACTGCCTGCCAGCTGCCCAGCGCGTCGGTCCGGGACCGCGCCCTGGCGGTCCGTGCCGCCCTGGCCGAGGAGTTGGCTAATGAACGCGGCAGCTGGCTGGCCTCTGTGCTCGCGGTCGCCTACTTGCGTTTGCGAACGAGTCCAGGGCGCGCGCGGGCGGCGCGCAGACACTTTCGCCGCGCCAGGGGGAGGAGGTAGAGGAGGAGGAGGAGGAGGAGGAGGAGGAGGAGGAGGAGGAGGAGGAGGAGGAGGAGGAGGAGGAGGAGGAGGAGGAGGAGGAGGAGGAGGAGGATATGGAGGAGGAGGAGGAGGAGGAGGAGGAGGAGGAGGATGAGGAGGAGGAGGAGGAGACTGAGGAGGAGGAGGAGGAGGAGGAGGAGGAGGAGGAGGAGGAGGAGGAGCCAGAGGACGACGACGACGGCCTCGACTCGACGACGACGACGACGAGGTGGATTCGCTGCGAAGGTGGGGGGCGCTTTTCATGATGTCTTTCTCTCGGAGGGTATCTATAGACGGGCAGACGGTGCAGCCCCAATCGGCGTGGTACGATGCGACGCTGTTGACGAGGCTGGTCTGCGAATCAGCCCTCGCCCTTTCAGAGGGAAGCCCTGTTGCTCAGCCAGTGCCCCCTGTCGGAAATGGGCCCACAATCCACACCGCGCCGTTGACCGGGCCACGCCGTCTGCCCGGCCCGGCCCTCGAAGGCCCTCCCGGGCCCGTGACCAGCGTGGGGGAGGGGCCGCGGAGCCAACTGCCGCCAGGCCCAGCGGGCCAGAGCAGCCCGCGCGCCAGCGCCGCCCCCTCCCCTCCCCAAGGTGCCCCGAGGCCCCTCTAGGGGGCCACGCGTGAACCCTACCCCATACCCCCCACGATTTCTGAGGGGGAGGGTGGGGCTCACTTCGTTGGGGAGCTCCCGAGCGAAGTGACCCCCACCCTCCCCCTCAGAAATCGTGGGGGGTAGGGGTAGGGTTGACGTGTGGCCCCCTACCCTCCCGGAAGGCCCCCCGAGGGCCCTCGCCCCCCCGAGGGCCGCCCGAGAGGCGCGGGAGGGCCCCCCCCCGGGAGCCCTGCCGGGTCGAGCCCGCCCCCCGTCCTCGCGCTGCGAGCGGGAGCGCGCGCGCGCGGCCTCGGGCTGCGGCGCGTGAGCGCATGCCGTCGGGAGAACGGAGGAGGGGAGCACGGAGAGAGGGGGGGGCCGGAGGGGGCCCGGGGGAAGCGAGGGGGGACGGAGGGGAGGAGGAGGGACGAGGGAGCGGGGAGGAGGGAGAGAGGAGTGGGGAGGAGGGGGAGGGAGGAGGGAGGAGGGAGGAGGGAGGAGGGGAGCAAGGAGAGATGGGGGAGGGAGGAGGCGGGAGGAGGGGTGAGGAGGGAGGGAGGAGAGGGGGCCGGCCCCCAGGAGAAGCCAGGAGGAGGTGCCCGCGCCGGCGGAGCTGCGGGAGGCGGCGGGGAGATCGCGGGGGCACCGCGTCCCTTGCCCAGCTCCTCCCCCCCCTCTGGGAGATCCTCCTCCTCCTCCTCATTCTCCTCCTCCTCCTCCTCCTCCTCATTCTCCTCCTCCTCCTCCTCCCTTCCTCCCCCTCCTCCTCCTCCTCCTCCTCCTCCTCCTCCTCCTCCTCCTCCTCCTCCTCTTCCATCCTCCTTCCTCCCTCCTTCTTCCTTCAGCTGCTCCTTCAGCTGCTCCTTTAGCTGCTCCTTGCCTCTTGCGGTCGGGGCAGAGCGAAATTGCATTTAGAAACCGCTTTGATGAACGTGCCATCCATCCAAACGACGGTAAATTAGCGGCGGGACGCGCCAGGGCACAGCTAGGCAGCTAGGCACTAAAGGGAACGCGGGGAGGGAATGTCGGAGGGGATGCGGGAGGGAGGCGCACTCAGACCGTGAGGGAATGTCGGAGGGGATGCGGGAGGGAGGCGCACTCAGACCGTGAAGGCCGCCGTGTGCTTGCTGAGGAGCAAGTCCGAGCAGTGCGCGATGTGGAAGCAAGCGAAGCCGCGCGGGACCGTGGGGAAGCCGAGCAAGGAGGGAGCAAGACCAGGTAAATCCTCCGCACATACCGCCATGACAAGTCCAGGTCAAGACCAAAGCTGGGGCAAAAAGTCATGATTACAATGGCGACGACCAGAGCCAGCACAATATGGTGCTCCAGACAGGCACGAGGGCCGTGCCAGCCAACCTCGAGCCAGAGCGGCTTGATCCAGTGGCTACGGCCATCCATCCATACATACCCCATCCTCATCCTCATCTTCATCCTCATCGTCATCACCATCACCATCACCATCACCATCACCATCACCATCATCATCATCATCATCATCATCATCATCATCATCATCATCATCACCATCATCATTATTGCCATCAGCACCATCACAATTACCATCATCATCATCATCATCATCATCATCATCATCATCATCATCATCATCATCATCATTGTCATCGTCGTCGTCGTCATCACCATCATCATCACCATCATAATCATCATCATCAGCAGTATCATCATCGTCATCCTCATCCTCATCATCATCAAGATCATCAACATCATCGTCAGCGCCCTCTTACACCCTCCTCCCCAAAGGTAAGGTATAGGTCTCCCAGCGTACCCCCGCTTGGTCAAGCTGGGCACATCAAAACCCGAAGGAGGCGGCATCCATCCCTGGGTAGGCTGGGGGGTAGGTTGACCAGCGGGGTCAAGGCTCCCTGGTGGGGGTGGGGATGCCAGTTCTTGTCCAGGTCATCATCATCATCATCACCACTAGCAGCACCATCATCACCATCGTCATCATCCTCATCATCATCACCATTTCCATCACCATCATACTCATCATCGTCCTCATCCTTATCCTCATCCTCCTTTTCATCCCCATCACCACCAGAATCATCGTCAACAGCATCATAATAACAATAATCATCATCCTCATCATCATCACGCCAAGCACCACCATCACCATCACCACCACCATTATCATCACACTTGCCATCAAAATCATCACCAGTCCCAGCATCACCACGATCAGCATCTCCATATACATCTTCATCGCCATCATCATCATCATCATCATCATCATCATCAGCACCATCATCACAACACCACCATCACCGTCACCACCAGCATCATCACCATCATGATCATCATCGCCATCACCATCACCATCGTCACCATGCTTTACATCACGATCATCATCAGGATCATCAGCATCGTCATCATCATCATCATCATCATCATCATCATCACCATCATCAGCACAAGCATCAGTATTAGCACCAGCATCAGCACCAGCATCAGCATCAGCATCAACATCATCATCATCATCACCATCGTCGTCATACTCATTGCCATCAGCATCATCATCATGTCCACCATCATCATGATCATCACTACCGTCATCATCAGCATCATCACCACCACCACCACCACCACCACTATTTCATCATTATTAATCCGTAAGGGCTTCGCCCCCAGCTAAATCATGAGGTCTGGGCGCCGCCGTGAAGCAGTGTCGGGACCTGTTTGTTTTTCGACCCTGACCCTACGGATCTGCGTGAGGGGTGCCACCGAATTTCAGAAATGTGGCAAATCCCTTGTGTTTTTGGACCCTGACCCTACGGATCTAATCCCGTGTGTTTTTGAACCCTGACCCCGCCGATCTGCGTGAGGGGTGCCACCGGATGTCAGAAATGTAGCAAATACCATGTGTTTTTGGACACTGAGCCTGCCGATCCGCGTGAGGGGTGCCACCGAATGTCAGAAATGTGGCAAATCCCTTGTGTTTTTGGACCCTGACCCCGCCGTTCTGCGTGAGGGGTGCCACCGAATGTCAGAAATGTGGCAAATCCCTTGTGTTTTTGGACCCTGACCCCGCCGATCTGCGTGAGGGGTGCCACCGAATGTCAGAAATGTGGCAAATCCCGTGTGTTTTGGACCCTGGCCCCGACGATCCGCGTGAGGGGTGTCAATTTTTACCCATCCCAACAATTCAGACAACACGCTCAGGGCGTGGTAAACCTGCCAGTTTGGGCCTCCCCCCCTCGCGCGGTCCATCAACAAGGAACAGTAGAAGCACTGTAAGCAATGTAGCAGCAAGAAATCTGCAAGCCAGCAAATTTAATGTTCTTTTTAACCCTTTTTCTCTTCTCAAGCAGAGCAAGAAGCCAGAACATTTGTATTTTATGTTGTTCTTTTTTTTCTGTATGTTTTTGTTTCTTCTTGTTTTTTTTTTTCGTTATTTTGTTATGTTTTTTGATTCTTTGCTTTTCTTCTTTCTTATTGGTTTTGTTTGTTGTTTTTTCTCTCTCTTTCCTGCTCTCTGTTGTCTGTCTTTTTTATTGTTTCTCTTTTTGTGTTCTTTTCTCGTTGTTTTTGTTGTGTACAGTTGCAAACTTTTTGGGATTTTTTTTTTTGGATTTTGGTCGTTGGATGAGTTCTTGTTGGAAGCTGCAACGATCAGGAAACTGCGAAACCTTCGGCCTACGGCCTGGCTGTTGGCCACACACGGGGGCCGGGCGCATCTCATCATTTATAATCATCATCATCTCATCATCATCATCATCATCATCATCATCATCATCATCATCATCATCATCATCATCATCTTCATCTTCATCTTCATCTTCATCTTCATCTTCATCTTTATCGTTATCTTCATCTTCATCTTCATCCTCATCCTCATCTTCATCATCAGCATCATCACTACCAACAACACCATCATCATCACCACCATCATCATACTCATCTCCATCATCCTCATCATCATCAGCATTATCATCATCTTCATCGTCATCTCCACCTCAATCTCCTCCTTCAACAGCAAGAGCAGCATCAGCATCAGCATCATCAACATCACCATCATCATCATCATCATCATCATCATCACTATCGTCATCATCATCATCATCATCATCATCATCATCATCATCATCATCATCATCATCATCATCATCGTCAGTATCGGCATCAGCATCAGCATCAGCATCAACATCAGCATCATCATCACCATTACCGTTACCATCACCGTCCTCCTCTTCCTCCTCCTCCTCCTCCTCCTCCTCTTCGCCCTCCTCGCCAGTACAGGGTGAGGGCCGTCGTCCCGTATCGTCGTCCGTCGTGGTTTTTTTTCGTTGCCCCCGAAGCACTCGCCCAGGGAGGGCCGTGCCCCCGAGCATCGCCCAGTGCGCTGCGAGGCCGAGCCCCCGGACGCGTCGGCGGCCAAGGCCGGGCCGATGTCCGGACATTGGCTCAACCACGGGGACTGGCTCCCCCGCGCTCCCTCTCTCTTTCGCCCTGGAGGAGGAAGGGTCGGGCAGGGATTGGGGGAGGGGCGGCGAGGCGGAGGAGGAGGAGGAGGAGGAGGAGAAGGAGGAGGAGGAGGAGGAGGAGGAGGACCAGTGTAAACCCAAGAGAGTCATCAACGATGTTGAAGCAAAACCTCCCTCCAAGCTCCCTCTTCAGAGGCCCCTGCAACGGTTCATTTCCATTGATGGAGCTGCCTCGTTGGAAGACACCCGTTTGAAGACCCTGAAGCGTGCCAAAACATTGTTCTTGGGATTCCAACGCCACGGATCAACCTGAGTGTTGCGTCTTGACGATCCTGAATCGTCCCAGAACGCCATTCCTACAGAGAATCCACTTAACTGTTGCGCCCGCATAAGCCTGAATCCTTCCAAAACACTATTTTTTGGTACGTTGATGATGGGAACCCGTGAAACGCTAGTAATTTTTAAACGAATGCGCGCGGCGTTAAGGCAAGAACAACATTTTGAAAACGACTCGCCTTCAATCCGTGACACGCTTACAATTTTGTTGCAAGAATGTGCGCCGCGCTAAGGCGAGAGCCACATTTTGAAAACTACTCGCCCTCAATCCGTGAAGCTCTTGCAAGTTTTTAGCAAGTGTGTGCGCCGCGCTAAGGCGAGAGCCACATGTTGAAAACCATCCGCCCGCAATCAGTGGAAGTCTTGCAAATGTTTAGAACGAATGTGCGCCGCGCTGAGGCGAGAGCCACACTTTGAAAACCACCAGCCCTCAACCTGTGAAGCGCTTGCAGATCTCCAAACCATCCTGTGGTGTTAGGCCTTCGTTTTGAAGAGAAAGCGCCCCGCGTCACTCCTCCTCTCCTCTCCTCCCCGCACTTCTCCTCCCCCTCCTCCCTCCTTCTATCCGCCTCGTCACCTCGCTGCGTTTCACCCACGCGGGACAGCGTTTCATGGCCCCATAGGGGACTCTGCCGAAGGCTCCACTGGCATAGGGAGCTCCGCCGAAGGCTCCAGTGACACAGGCCGCATGCGTCACCGCCACCCAGGACAGCGTTTCGTGGCCCCATAAAGAGTTTCACCGAAGGCTCCGGTGCCACTGCCCGCATGCGTCACCGCCACCCAGGAGTGGCCCCATAGGGAGCTCCACCGAAGGCTCCAGTGGCTCAGGCCGCATGCGTCAACACCACCCAGGACAGCGTTTCGTTGCCCCATAGGGAGCCCCTCCGAAGGCTCCAGTGGCAGGGTCCGCATGCGTCAACGCCACCTAGGACAGCGTTTCGTTGCCCCATAGGGAGCTCCACCGAAGGCTCCAGTGACACAGGCCGCATGCGTCACCGCCACCCAGGACAGCGTTTCGTGGCCCCATAGGGAGCTCCACCGAAGGCTCCAATGGCACAGGCCGCATGCGTCACCGCCACCCAGGAGAGCGCCTCGTGGCCCCATAGGGAGCTCCACCGAAGGCTCCAGTGGCTCAGGCCGCATGTGTCACCGCAGCATTTCGTGGCCCCATAGAAAGCTTCATTTTCTCACCATCGTTTTTTCCCATTTCCTTCCCTTAATTTTTTTCCCCCCCTTTTGCATTTTTTTTTACTTTTTTATCTTTTGTCGTTGTTTTTTTTACTTAATTTTTTCTTTTGTTTCCTTTTGTCTTTTTTTCCTTTTTTCTTTTCGTCTATTCTTTTTACCTCTTTGTTTTCTATGTGTTGTCTTCTCTTTATTTTTCTCTATTTTTTTTTTTTTTTTTCTTTTATGTTGTGTTTTTTCCTTCTTTTTCTTTCTTTTCTTTTCTTCTGTTTCTTTTCTCCCCTTTGCCCTGTCTCCGTTTCGTCCGACCTGTTTTAATTTCTCTCTTTTTTTTTTTTTTTTTCTTTTTGTTTTTCTTTAGTTTCTTTTCCCCTTTCGTTTTTTTTCTTTTCTTCTTTTTCTTTCTTTTTACCTCTCTGTTGTTTGCTGTTTCACACCGTAGGTTACCAAGTTGGCACAGGCCGCATGCGTCAACGCCACTTAGGACAGCGCTTCGCGGCCCCATAGGGAGCTCCACCGGAGGCTTCAGTGGCAGGGTCCGCATGCGTCACCGCCACCCAGGACAACGCTTCGTGGCTCCATAGGGAGCTCCACCGAAGGGTCCAGTGGCACAGGCCGCATGCGTCAACGCCACCTAGGACAGCGCTTCGTGGCTTCATAGGGAGCTCCACCGAAGGCTCCAGTGGCAGGGTCCGCATGCGTCAGCGCCCCTTCCGGCACACCCCTCACACGGTTCGTGGTCATAGGGATCTCCACCGAATGCCCCAGCGGCAAGGTTTGCACGAGTCCCCCCGCCCATTTCGGCACACCCCTCACGAGGATCGTGGCCCCATAGGGGTTCCACCGAGATCGGTACCCACACCGCGGTATCCACAGCTGCATATGGTTGGGTCCTTCGCCAGGGTAATTTGAAAACGAATGTGCGCCGCGCTAAGGCGAGAGCCACATTTTGAAAGCCACCCTCCCTCCATCTGTGAAGCTGTTGCCAATTTTTAAGCTTCAGGGCCAGAACTGGTGAGGACGTCTCAGGCGAAACGCCCGGCCCGCCCTAAAAACTGGCCTCGGGGTGCGACAGGGAGAAGTTGTCTATAAGGAAAAGGAATGGAGGAGGAGGAGGAGGAGGAGGTGGAGGAGGAGGAGGAGGAGGAGGAGGAGAAAGAGGGATCTGAACGATCTGATGAGGCGGCCTGCGTCTTCCAGGCCCTGGCACACAAGCCCGCGGCGTGGACCTACGCCGCGCCGCATTTTCGAACCGCACTCCGACGAGGCGACGAGGAAGGCACAGGGGCGACCCGCGCCAGGAAAACCAAAACGGCCCAACGGCCCGAGGCGAGTCCAGCCGCGGCGACGCGACGAGGGACAAGCCAGAAAACCGAGGCGCCCAGCAGTTGCAACGAGGCAGGGCCAATGCCCGGCACAGCCGCCACCGACGGGCCGAGCCTCTCAGCCCAGCTAGTGGGTGTACTTCGTGAGAGCGTTCGCCTTCACAAAGACGACCTTGCCGAAGCTCCCACGATTCCTGTCCTTGGTCGCCTTCTTCTGGCGGGCCTTGATCATCGCAACGCTTGGGATGACGAACTTACCGATGTACTTCGCCACTGACGGTGCAATGCCTTCGAGAATGCTCAAGGTGTTGATCATCACAACACTCGGGATGACGAGCCTACCGATGTACTTCGCCACTGACGTTGCAATGCTCGCGAGAGTGCTCAAGGCCTCCTGAGCTTCTCCTTCATTTGATCTTCTCCATGGCTCCTGCGGGCTGCGCGCCCCCTCCACCCCCCCCACGCGCGCCCGCAAATGGCTCCCCCGAGCCAGGAAGGGCTAGGAGGAGGAGGAGGAGGAGGCGGCGGCGGAGGCGGAGGAGGAGGAGGAGGAGGAGGCGGAGGCGGAGGCGGAGGAGGATGAGGAGGAGGAGGAGGGGGAGGAGGAGGAGGAGGAGCAGGAGGAGGAGGAGTAGGAGGAGAAAGAGTAGCAAGAGGAGCAAGATGAGAAAGAGGAGGCGGAGGAGGAGGAGGAGGAGGAGGAGGAGGAGCAGGAGGAGGAGGACGAGGAGGACGAGGAGGACGAGGAGGACGAGGAGGACGAGGAGGATGAGAAGGAGGAGGAATCATAGTAATATGACTAAGCATAAGGAGACGAATACGGATAATAGTACCAATGCTAATAACCAGAATCTTAATATTAATGCTGCTAATCATACTAGTATAGTTAAGGAGTAGAGGAATACTACGATTAAAAAGACGGTTCGTATGAGTCAGAAGAAGAAACATACTAATACTACTAAATAGTACAGATAATACTAAGTTGAAGAAGAATATTCAGACGAATACAACTGATATTTTGAACTCGAAGACTAGTAATCATACTCGTACGAATAATATTGTGGGGAGGAGGAGGAACAGGAGGAGGAGGGTCTCCTTCAGGAGGAGGAGGAGGAAGAGGAGGCGGAGGGGGAGGAGGAGGGGCAGGAGGGGGGACGGGGAGGGGGGTGAGGAGGCAGGAGACCTGTCGGAAAACGTGCGCACGCATCCCATCTCCTCCGCAGTGTGCCGCGGGGTGGGGGATGCTCTGGTGCGCGCTCGCGCCGCCGGCGGGGGACCCCCTGCCTTGCCACCCTGGCGCTTCCTCGCAAGAGGATCCCTAAGGCCTTGACGACTTTTCGCCAATCGACTTGCGGTGATCAAGTCAGAGAAATCGAGGTAAACGCAGGTGAATCGAGGCACGTCTAGGCACCTCCAAAGATCTACGGGGGAATTTGGATCGGGTCGTGGCCGCTCCAGCGCGAGTCGAAGGACGGTAGAGGAAATCACGATTGTTCAGGGGCAACGATGGGGGGGGATAGGCATAGGGTTTGCATCGACCCCCAATGGCCCATTCATCGCTGGTAGGGGTTCGATAGGCCACCCTCGCCCAGGAACGTGTGGATTTGCTGGCGATGGCCTGTCGCTGATCCATGGGCGATATTGCCCATTCCAGGTCGATGTTTCCCCCCCCCCCCCCCCCCCTATGCCAGTCCCCCCCCCATCGTTGCCCCTCATCTTTGAGGCGTTCCAAGAATGGCGTCGCCTTTGAGGATCGAAGGAGTTGATATCTCTTCCTTCGCGGAAGGGCGGTGGAAGGTGGCAGAAGTAAAACGAGGCCACCTCCGCCAGCGCAGGCCGGCGGAATGCTAGCGGAAGCCGGCGGAATGCCAGCGGAAGCCGGCAGAAGTAAAAGTGGGTGTTGCAAGCGATGGCAAGGTTTTTTGGCTTAGAGTTTTTTGAACCCGCGCTATATCCACAGCCTCGCGGGCCAGGCCCCTGAGCCGCGACCCCATGGATACGGGGCGCTTTTTGCGAGGATACCCCGCACGGAGCGTATCCATGCGACCGCGTGTCCACGGCATCGCGGCCCAGAGCCCAGACCGCGAGGGCGTCGACATGGATACGTTCGCCGCTCCTGCTTCTCAGAAGGCTCCCACCCCTCGCTCCCAGACCTCCGGCGCTGTGTTCACTTCACAGTGCGGGATCCCCGCCGAGGTGTTCGTGAGCTCTTCCCCAGGACCCGCTTGTCCTCCTGGGCCGCCTTTCCTCCACGGACCCGGGGCCCGGCGAGGGCCCCCAGGGGCCGAGGAGCAACAGAAGCCTTCCGTCGTGCTATTTTGTCACTGTCACTCAGGAGGGAAAGAAACACACAGACACAATTAATCGGCGATTCCCAGAAAATATGGGAAAATATGGGAAGTGGGGGGGAAGACAGAAACCCAGAAAATATGGGAAAATATGGGGGATATTTTTATTTGTGTGTGTTTATTTGTGTGTCCCAGTTCCCCTTCAGTCACGGCGAGGCCAGGCCGGGCTTGTCGGACCATGAGTCGGGCTTCCAGGAGCCGTTCGGGACGCTCCAGGCACCCCTGGGATGCCCACGGCCTTCGGCGAGGTGCAGCTGCTGGAACGCACCCCGAGGCTGGAATCTCACCGCCGAAAAGCGTCTGGAGTCGCCCGAAAGCGACGCACATCCTTCAGGACCCGTCCTCGTCTTCGCCGACGCCTGAGCGTCAGCTGCCCGCGCAAGGTCGCGTGTGAGCGCCCTCTTCTCCGCGCGGCGTGCCACGCCGGCGGCCCGCGCAAGCCGCGGCGTGAGATCGCTGTGTCGCCTCGCGTGAGGCCCGCTTCTGTGTGCCGCTCAGAAGGGCGTGGCGCGCCGCCAGATGGGCGGCAGGGGGAGCGCCAGGCCCTGACGCCCTCGAGGGTCAGCGCGGAAGGGCGAGGAGGGAGGAGAGAGGGCGAGCGCGAGGAGCGGAGAGAGGAGGCGAGGAGAGGCGGGGCGTGGGAGAGGCGCGGGGAGGCGCGGAGGGGAGATAGGGGAGGAGAGGCGCGAGGAGGGAGGAGACGAGGAGAGCGCGAGGAGAGGACAGGATGGGGCCCGCGCAGGTTCGAGCTGTGCACCCTCCTCGGCCTGTCGCCGCCCGCCGCGCGGCGGCTCTTCGAGCTGCTGGGTGCGCCCTGGGGGGCGCTGAGCCTGCACGAGATGGCCAAGGCTCTGGACGCGACGGTCGCGGGCTGGCCAACCCTCGAACAGGCAGAAGGAGCAGACTATGAATGATAATAATAGTAGTAATAAGAATAATAATAATTATCATAATACCAATGATAATACCAATAATACAAACAAGATTGAGATTACTACATCATCGTAATACTAAACATATTGTTAATAAGAAGAGTAATGATGTATGAAGAACACTCGTACTCTTATTTCAAGGAATACAGTATTGAGAATCATGTGAGCCAGCGTTGGCCCCAACCAGTGCGTTCATAGCAATACTTATCTATATATCTGTATGTATGAAGCGATCAATGTGGTGCAATCTATGTGGAGCAATATTTGCTGTGCAATCTATGTTGTGCAATCTATGTGGTGTGGTTTACGAGGTGTAATGTGGAGCAGCCTATGTGGTACAACCGGTGTGTTTCCGTCAATGTGGTGTAAACTATGTTGTGCAATTGACTTTGATTGCCTCACGTGTGACCACCTCCCATGCCCGCGCAACCATGCCATGCCACCCACCACCCGCAGCTTGGTTTTCAAAACCCGTGCGGCGGCGATTGTGATGGCTGCTGGGCGCTGGCTGGTGCGTCGCTGCGGCCGTGCTAGCCCACGCACGTTCGCGCGTACAACGGCCAGCTAGTTTGGCGCGACCCCGGTGGCGCTGACCGCTGGGCACTTCCCTGCGCGTCTTGCAGGTCGCGCTGACGCGCGGGCACTTCAGTGCGAGCGGGTGACTTGGGCGGGTGCGGTATCATGGCAACGTCGACAACGGCAGGCACGGTGATGATGGTAGCACTGATGGTGGCGATGATAGCGATGACAGCGGCAAGGCCAATGACGGTGCCGATGCTGATCACGCCGATGACGATGATGGTGTTCTCGCGTCGGTGATGAAAGTTTTGGAAGGAGTTCGGCATACGCGCGCTTCTGATGCGCGAGAGTGGCCGGCATGTTTTTTTCGAGAGGGATCGTAGCCCCCCCAGCACCGCGCGCAAGGGCGTTCGAATGATTTCGACATGCGGCGCGAGAGGCCCTTTTGGTCGAACTTGATGAACGGATGGTCCCCAGGAGAATTCGCAAGCGCACGCGTTTGTTCCTTCAAAATCAGAGTGATCAGAGTGACGAGGGCCGAACGGTCAGTCTCTGTCCCTGTGCGCGCGTGGCCGAAAGAGGAGGCGGCGCGCGGGGAGGGCGCGCGGGGAGGGCGCGCTGGGAGGGCGCGCGGGGAGGGCGCGCCGGGAGGGCGCGCGGGGAGGGCGCGCGGGGAGGGCGCGCGGGGAGGGCGCGCGGGGAGGGCGCGCGGGGAGGGCGCGCCGGGAGGGCGCGTCGGGAGGGCGCGCCGGGGGAGCGCGCGTGGAGGTCGCCTTCCGCCTTTCTTCCGTGTCCGTTTCGGCCCGAGCATGGCACCGAAGGCGCGCGCGAAACCCACAGGCCAGCGCCACGTGCGCCATGGCGTCCCGCGCGCGCCCAGTGGCTCCCGGTCTGGCTTGCGAGCTGCCACCGCTGCGCGTCGCGAGGTTCATCATGACGGAACGGGGGCCTCAAGGAACAATGTCTCCCATTTCTATCGCCGCTTTCGCCCTCCAGGGCTTCCCCGCGCGCCCTCGGGGTTTCAAAAAACGACCTTGGGAGATTTTGGGGTGCAGGACCCGTTTCCTTGAGGACCTGTTTCGTTCATGCTCTGAGGCTCTCTTGGCACGGCCTGGTGTTTGGCACGAGTGCCCAAACTGCACGGCTGCTGTGCGCGTGGCTGCCGACGTCGCGCCGACCAGTTGCATTTCTTGCCCGGTGCGCTCTGCGCGGGTGAACGCTGGCGTTCCGGTGGCGTGCGACTTTAAAACCAAAGCCCGGGCTTGGCGACTGCGTGCTGTTGTTCCAGACGACCGCGCGCAAGCGCGCACTTCGGCGGTCCGGGAGTGCATCGTCGAGTTCGAGACCAAGCACTTGGCGGGACTGCCGTGCGTGGAGAGGCGCGCCGGCGCGTTCCCCTCGTTGGGCCGTTGCCCGAACTGGCCGCTGCAGCCCAGCCCTTGCCTTGAAAAAGTCGCCGAAGTCGATTCCGCCACTCCCCCATGTTCATTTCCACTCTCTCCTTCCGGTTCCTCCTCACTCTTATCCGCAATTGCGGGGCGCTACGTATTTATTCCCTCGGGAACTGGGCTTGACGGCCGGTCACTCGGCTATGTGGCCGCCGTCGCCGCCCCGTCGTCGCCTCGTCGCCGCCCGTGGTCTGGGTCTGACAGACGCTCTGGCAGCTATGTGGCCGCCGTTGCCGCCTGTCGCAGCAGTCCGTCGACGCTGCCTTGCACTGTTTGTCCTTCCCTTGCAGTGTTTGGCGTTGCTTCAGTGCTTCGCATTGCTTCGCGTTGCTTTGCATTGCTCTGCATTGCTTTGCATTGTTTTGCAATGTTTCGCGTTGCAAGTTTCAACAAGTGCAGCCCGCAGGGCGATCGCAGGCGGGAGTGCGCCCCGCGGAAAGGTTTCGTTGTGGTTTACGGCCTCTCTCGGCCTCCTGATCTATGCCCCCGTCTGGGATCTCACCAGAACTGGCAGGTTGGAATCCACTGCCCATCTGTTATGAGACGTGTGTATAGGAGAGGGGGCAGAGGACAGAGTGTTTAAAGAGTTTGGAGGAATTCGTGAATTCAATATGGGTCGGGCTTGAAGTGCCTCGAAGAAGGCGCGCGCACCCGAATCGCAGACATATGGCTATATGCGGACCCGGGACAGTTTGCTTCCCGTCGTCGTCCTCGCCCTTTCTCCGTTCCCCTTCTTTCCTTCCCTCCCTTGGATGGTGTCGAAATCGCCCACGGCTCGGGCGGGGGAGCGCCCTTTCCCACGTCCTTCATTATTCCTCGTTCCTATTTGCCTCCCTGCTCCACCGTCCGTCGTCCTACCTCGTCCTCTCTCCTTGTTCGAGAAGTGAAGTCCCTGGTGCCGCGTGCCCGTGTCAGCGTTTTTTTTTTTTTTTTTTTTTTTTTTTTTTTTTTTTTTGTTTCTCTTCTTCTTTTTCCCCTCTAATCCCAGCCAGACGGCGCAACCAAACAGAAGAGATTGCCAATGCGAGCGTTCGGGGTGCACTCCAAACGCGGGCGGCGCGGCCGCCGAACACAATCGCATCGCTAACCTGTAAATTATAGGTGCCTGCGGCAATGTCCGCTTCCTTGCGAGAGCAGTGGTCTGTATGGCGACGCGTGGAGCTTTGACTGTTGAGAGGTCCATGACATGTGACACCTCTCGTGTTTTCGGATGGCTGTGCGGCATTTTTCGGGGTCCTTCGAGGCCATTTGGGACGTCTTCGGGCCGTTGGGGGCCGCTTTGGTGCCGCGTTGCACCGCGGCCGCCCTGGGCCAGGGAAGCGCGCATTTGCAGCTCACTCGGGGGCGCCCTGTGCCGGGGAAGTGTGCATTCGCATTCCCCCCAGCTGTGCATGTCGACCTCGGTTCTGGGTTGGCAAAATCGGGGCACCCTCGAGGTGGCGAGCGTTTACCTTTTTCGAAATACACAGATCAAGGTGTGATCTGTGTACACAGTTTGTGTCTTCAACTGTGTATTTTGCGTGTTGGGCCCACTGTTTATACAAATCGTGGTGTGATGTGTGTATACATGTTTCCCCCCCCGAGGGGCGGGACCTATGGGTTACCAGCTACCTGGGGGCAGCTGCCGCACGAACGGCAGCCTCTCTCTCTTGGATTCGTTCTAGGAGAGACTGCGTTCCAGCCGTCTGCACGAGACGATCCAGCTGCAGGGTGCGCTGGCCTGTTTCGGGCGGTGGCGGGAGGCTGATCGCATTTTGCATGAACCCAACTCCTCGCCTCGACGTCTGCGAGACTCGCGCACTGGATTCGCGCGCGTGTGGGTGCAGGCCTGCATGGATGAGCTTCAAAGCAATGGAGGCGCCAGCCAGTCGTTTTTGCTGGCACTCCTTTACCCAGAAAAAAGCATCGACGCGTGGTGTAGGCGCCACACGTCGTACAACAATACAGCACCGTTTCACGCCCACGACTCCTACTGCGGTCGTCATCAGTTCCTTGGCGAGTGACGACCGTGTGGGCCAAAGTGTGGCCCATGTTAAAACTGAAAGCTCCCATCCAAGTTTTATTCGGTCCAGGGCATCTAAGCAAGGGGCGGGTGCCCCATCTGTGTGTTCGGAATGTGCCCCTCGCGGGTGGTGTTGACTGGGCGGGAACTTTCGCGTTCCTCTTCCGGCTGGTCCAGGGGGGGCGTCTTGCGCGGTCGAAATACACAGCTCGTGTCTCCAACTGTGCATATGTTGCGCTCCGTTCGCTGGTTTGGTCACTGGGCGGGAGTTTCCGCGGATCTCCGGGCTGGTCCAAGAGGGGGCCGTGGTCTGGGCACGCAAAGGCGCGGGGGGTGGGTGGGGATGGTGGGCTGCGGCTGTGGGAAGGAAGGGGTTCGATAGGAGGGGTGGCCAAAGGGCCAAGGATGAACGGGACTGGACGAGAGCGGAGGACATGAGCCCAGCAGGAGCTGCATCATCGGTGTCAGCATCACGAGGACGAGGGAGGCGGGGGGGGGGCAGAAGTTGGGGGCATGATGTGCACGAGGGCGTAGAGGATGGGAGGAGGGCAGGCATGTGGACGATGGGGGAACTAATCCGGCGAAGGAGGACGACGAAGAACGACATACATTGGCACATGAGGGTGTGACAGTGTGGATGAGGGGCATGATGAGGACCGGGGCGATCGGAGGGGCATGAGGAGGGTGGGGCCAAAGCGAAGGGATATTTGGAAGAGGCGGGGGATGGGGCATGAGTTTGAGGTGGGCGCCGGCTAACGATTAGCTGCAGAGTGTTCTGCGTGTCCGTGCACCCCCCCAGAACACAGTGACTGACTGCAGAACTTCATGAGTTGGGTAATCGTGCGCTTCGTGCTTCCAGGCCAAAGGCTCGAGTCCGCGACGGCCGTTGGCGTCGCGATGATGCCGCCCCGATTTGCCAGGCTGCAGATGCACAGATACGCATAGTATGTGTTGCAACGCTTGTTTCACGACCTTCTCTATAGTATCATACCCACGTTGGAATCCAAGCGGCAGGAACTTTCAGGATCTATTCGACCTGTGATGTGAATAGATATTGTGACATGTTCAAAGGCTTGTATAAATAACTCTCACCGACCCATTCCGCTGCCGATTTCTCAGTGTTTTCGGGAGGGGCAGCGCATGCGTATCTTCTCCTTCTATGATGTCGCGGATGGTTTCTGGCATGATTCGGGTGGGCACCGACTATCAGAACCACCTGTTTCGCAGAAGTGGCTGCCCAAGTTGTCTTCGCAATTCGTGGAGATCTTCTCGCTTCGCGAGTGCGATTGCGAAGTGATTTGCTGATAGCGTCAATCATGCTTCGGGGATGGCAACGACAGAGCTTCATCACCAGTCCAGCGATTCTGGTTTAACTCTACGTGGCGGCGCTTGCAACCTGCTTCGAGACGCCAAGGAGAACAGCTGCCGCGTGCGGAAGGGAGCTAGGCAGCCCCCGGATGCCAATCGTCCGACTCCGATGCTGTCAGGGGCTTCGGTGGCCTCAAGCCCTGCCGCACCGGCCCCACCAATAAGGCGGCCAGGCCAGCCAGCAGACTTCGGAGGGCGGACGGGACAGGCGACAAAAGGGCGCGCGGCATGCCCAGGCATCGGACGTCGCGATGTGTTCCCCATCGCGGGCCCCGAGGGTCCATGCGCACCACTTCCCGTGGGCCAGTCTCTCGTCCCGCGTCGTTCCTTGACGGTCCCAGGGCCCAGCGAGGGCCCCTGTTGGCCGAAAGCGGCCAAGGACCCTTCCGCCGTGATTTTCGCACCGTGCGAGGCTGGTGGGGCGCGCGGGCTGCTCTGTGGACCCCTCGCCCGATGGGGCCCGTGCGGGGCCGCGGCCGCGGGCCAGGGCCTCAGCCCCGCAGGTCGCCCCCAACGCGTCCCTGCCCGGCTTCATCATGAGAGTCATCTCCGAGTACGGCTCTCTGCGTCGGGCCTCTCAGCTGCGCGGGCGAAAAGTATCATATCCGTATCCGCGGCCTCGCGGGCCAGGACCCCAAGACCGCGACCTTGCGGATACTGGGCGCTGTCTTGCGGATGCCACGCGCGGATCGTAGATCTACCCGCGGGATCGCGCCCCCGAATCCAGACCGCGAGGGCGTGGCCATGGATAAGTTCGCCGCTCGTGATCAGCGCCTCCGAGATCGCCGCGCGGCCCGGGCGCGGTGGTGCGCGGGCGGGCCCCCTCCGATGCGTGAGCGGCTCCTGGCACCTGTGGGCGGCCCCCCCCCCGCGGGGGAAGACCGCCTCCGCCTCGCTCCGAGGTGGGAATTTTGTACATGACCACGGCCTGGAGGACCAACTTTTGAGGACCTCGGCAGGCGGTGGATATGGATATGTTCGGGACCTCGAGGGCCAGAAAATATCCATACCCACCGCCCGCTGGAGCACCAGGACGTCGGTTCCCAGGCGGTGGATGTGGATAAATCCCCGCCTCCGCCCCGTGCCGCTCCCAGGAGAGCGCCCTCGGCGCGCCACGCCTCCGGCGGAGAAGGCGTGCGGCGGGACGGCGTGCGGAGGCCGGCGTGAGAGGCCAAAGCGGCGGCGGGGGGGCCCGTCGGCGGAAGTCGGAGAAGAGCGGCCATGCGCAGAGGGTGCGCGCGTGTGTGTGTGTGTGTGTGTGTGTGTTTGTGTGTGCGTGTGTGTGTGTGTGTGGGTGTGTGTGCGTGTGGATTGTTGATTTTGCACAGCCTGACGCTCGCGCCGCAGCCGGCTTGGGATCGAGAACAGTTCGGCAGGCCCGTCGGTCCTGGACACCCAGGGTCCAAGGTATCGGCTTGACACCCCGGGTTGTTCCATGAGCGTGTGTGTGTGTGTGTGTGTGTGTGTGTGTGTGTGTGTGTAGGTCGCGCAGGGCGGGGGGTGGGGGGAGATGGGCTGTCCTGTGGACAGCATCGGGGTGGGGGGGTCGCGCGAGGGGGACGCCAGGAACGGGGCGGAGAGCAGATGCTCGCCTTGCTGGGAGGCCAGAGATGCCAGTAAGTGCGCAGCCTTCGCAACGGAAGGTCGGGGGAGTCGGCCGCGCGCAGAGGGGGGCTACGGGGAAGGGAGAAGGCTTCTTATGAACACCCTTGCTTCTTAGGAGGCGCGGGCCTTATCTGGTCAAGCCGGGCAAGGGCTGCTAAATCCGTGGCTGCTAAAATCGACCTCCGGGAAGTTGTCTTCGTCCTTCCGGGAAGAAGCCCGTTGACTGTTTCGCGTGCCGCGCCTCATTCCGGGAAGTTGTTTTTTCCTTCCGGGAGGGCCGTTTTAGCAGTCACGGTTTTAGCAGCCCTCGCCCAGCTCCCGATATTATCTGTAGGTGTCCTCCCCCTGTCCCCTTGTGCGCGCCGCCAAGAGGAAACAGGGATCGCGGCCACCGAGAACCTGGCGGGGGGGGAGGCGACCCCTGGGCGGCGGCACGCCCGAGAGCCGTCCGGCACCGGGTGGCGCTCTGGCGTGCCACCGCCCAGGCATCAGAGCCCTCCCCCCTCGATTCGGGGGACGAAATCTATACATATCCACTGCTCCCTGGCCAGGCCCATCCTGAACCCAGGAGCTGTGTATACGCCCTCCTGGCCAAACCAGGAGGGCGTGGCGTATACACAGCTGCTGTGTTCAGGATGGGCCTGGCCAGGGAGCAGTGGATATGCATAGATTGCGTCGCCCTATCGATGTGGGGGTCCTGGTGGAGGTGGTCCCCGCTCCTCCGAGGCAGGTCGGCGGGCGGCGGCGGTGGCAGAAGCGAGGCGTCAGCACTCTTGGGTTCAGGGTGAAGTCGGGCCCGTCCCTCTACAGGAGGAACGACACTCCAGAACAGCACGGAGATAGTCAGGGGGCGATTTTCTGCGTTTTTTTTTTTTTTTTTTTTTTTTTTTTTTTTTTTTTTTTTTTTTTTTTTTTTTTTGTTTTTTTTTTTTTTTTTTTTTTTTTTTTTTTTTTTTTTTTTTTTTTTTTTTTTTTTTTCCATTCTTCGCCCAGAGTCCTCCTGCAGGGGGTCACGCCCGATGTAAGTCCAGGGGGCCTCCGGCGCCGGCGGCCTGGCGGAGGGGCGGGGCCAGGGCGGCGGCTTCGCAGGCTCTGCTCGCCGCTCGGTGCCGTGCCGCCTGCCGCCCCTGCTGTCGGCCCCGCTGCTGCCGCGTCGACGTCCGGGTCCTGGCCTTAGGTCGGGCCTGTCCCTCCACAGGGGGAAGATTGGAAAGCAGAGAGAGACTAGCAAGGGGACGTTTTTTTGTCTACTTTTGAGCGTTTTGGGCGTATATATATATATATATATATATATATATATATATATATATATTTGGAGTGTTTTGAGTTTTTCGCCCGAAGTCCCCCTGCAGGAGGACATGCCCGACCTAATCCTGGCCCCTCTCCTGCGGCGTCACACGTTTTGTCATGTTCGTTGTCGTGACGCTCGGGGGCGGCCCACGCGGGGGTGAGGACGAGGGGGAGGGTGGATATCATGGCCGCCGCCGTGATGTCTTCCCAGGTCTCGTGGCCCTTAGGCGGTCGATCATGGACCCCCTGTTGAACGCAACCAGCCATCCAGCTTTCGCGCCGAAGACCGCCAGGAACCGCCAAAGGCCACCGAAGATCGCCGAAGACCGCCAACAAAAACCGCCGAAGACCGTCAGAAGGCCGCCGAAGACCGCCAGAATACCGCCGAAGACTGCCAACGGCAGATGGGCAACACTGGGTCAATGGTCGAAAACGTAGTGGCCTCCTCATTTTTTTTCAGCACCTCCCCGAACCGTGGGCCCTCCAAAGTGATCACGGATCTTTTGTGACCGTGGCATTCTGGGCTCGCGGCTCGTCAGCCGGAACGCCGACCGCGCAGCCGTGGCCCCGGCGCGGCAGCCCCCACAGCATGCGTCTCGTTTCTTCGCGTGCGGCTGCCGCTGGGTTCCCGTGGGCACCGGCCCGCAGGCTGGCTCGCCGCAGAACGGAATGAGTGTTCACACGCTCCGTTCCAGCGGCACCTGCCAGCTGACTCCGCAGGGCCCTCCCCTCGGCCGCGCGCACGCGTCGGGGCACGGTTTGCGACCCCCCCCCCCGTCCTGGACGCCGCCCTCTCGGACGCCCGCGAGACGTCGGGCCCCGGAGCTCGCGAGCCCTCTCCCCGGGGCCTGCTCCTTTCCAGGGAGGCCGCGGCGGCCTCCAGAGCACCCCTCTCGAGGCCCAGGAGGCCCCAGGGGCTGCCCCGCGTCGTGCGGCAACCGGGGGACACCAGGGCCAGGGCTGCCTCGGGCACCCTCCGTTTTCTGTGGCTGCCCCGGGGCCAAGGCAGGGTTTCTCGAGGCCGACGGTTGTGACGAGCCGAACGCTTCCTTCGTGTCGCCGTGGTTGTGCTTCTGCTTTGTTTGTTTGTTTGTTTGTTTGTTTGTTTGTTTGTTTGTTTGTTTGTTTGTTTTGTTTTTTGCTTGTTGTTTGTTTGTTGCTGTGTGTAGTCGTTTGTTTGGGCGGTTGTGACGCCAGGATGCGAAGGGGCTGCTCATCGAGAGTGGTGCCGCGGACCTGCCCGCCCCAGGCAGGCAGGGCCCGAGGATGCCGCCTGGCACCCGCAGTGCGCCGCCCGGGGAGGGCTCGTGGCGTCGGCCGGCCCGTCCCTGCCCGCCACTCCAGGGCTTTGAGGCTCGAGTTCTGAAACCGAGGGCGTCCAAGAGGGGGGCGACGACTAGGTTTAAGTCGGGCCTGTCCCCCTACAGGGGGGTTTTGGGCGAAAAATGAATCTAACAGATTCAAGCAATATCCCAAATATGTTAGAAGATAGTCAAACCATCGTCCCCAGATGTTTTTTTGGCCATTTCTGAACATTCCCCCTGTAGAGGGACAGGCCCGACTTAAGACTAGGTGTGTGTGTGTGTGCGTGTCAAGCGGCTTGAGGGCTCGGCCTGTAGACGCGCGTGCGCGCCCGCTTCTCTGACCTTTCTACGCCCTGTCGCCGCGCGCAGGGCCGCGACGCTAAAGTACATGTGTGTGTATGTGTGCAGATATCATGCTTGGACTTCCTGCTGCTGCACGTCGGCACGCACATTGTTTCCTTCAGGGGCTGAGTGTGGCTCCCTCCCCAGGGCCCTCCTCCGGCTCCCCTTGCTGCGCTCGCGCTCCCCGTCTCCCGTGCCTCAATTTGCTCTGGCGCGTGCCGGCGCTGCCCGCACGCCGTCTGATCTCCTGCGGCCGCTGACTAAAAGATTGTGGACACCCTGGCCAGGGCCATGGAACTGTCCCAGATTTCATGGCGCCTCTTCTTATTTCGATGCGTCCCTTGGCCCCACCCCGTGGACCGCGCACGTGCCTCGGGCCCTGACTTGCGTACACCCCCTCTTGCCCCGAGATGATTGAGTTCTGAAAGCGCGGACGCCCTAAGCCTTGACGTTTCCGCTTGGAGCCCACGGCCTCAGGCGACAGGCCGGACTTGTTTGACATGGCACTGCAGGACGAGGCACGGCGAGGCCAGTCAGGCCTCCAGAATGATGTCGTGTCCAATTTGGCTGAGGATGGTCTCTAGCAGTGCGCCGATACGCCAGTCACAAGGAGGCCCCAAGATGGTTCTGAGGGGGCCTCGGTGTCTAAACGGGGATGCCCTCGGAAGGCCAACGCTTCAAAGACAGGCGCCAGAGGCTTTGCAATGGGGTATGGTCTCATCGCATTCTCGGATTTCGACGAGCTCCAGCCTCTGGATGCGAGGGTGGGAGCGTGGGGGGGGAGGGGCACATCCCTCCTCGGGGTACTTCTGGATAGGAGTTCATGGAGAGCCCTGGCCGCCAGAGCGGACGTCTGGCGGATAGGCCTGGCGAGAGACCGCAAGTCACTGTCCTCGTGCTCCTCTCCGTCCCTTCGGGGCTGTCAGAGCTGGGGCGCCACGCCCCAGGACTGCCCAGCGCGATCCACGCCCGGCTGCCCCCGGGATTGCACGGGGACTTCGCGGCCCCTCCGTGACGATCGGCGGTGCTCGCCCAGCTCGGCGCTCGAGCCACAGAACGGCACGCTTTCGCCGGATCCTGCCGAATCGACGCGCTTCCCCATGAAACGCGATCTTTGTCTTCGCAGTATGGGCTTCCGTGGAGCTCTCGGCCGCTCTCCCGTGGCAGTCCTTTCATACTGAGTCGTCTTTGACGGTCCCTGTACCCCGCATGCAGTCGGGCGTGTCCCTCCACAGGAGGAATATTCAAAAATAGTTTAAAGGTAGCCTGGGGACGATGTTTTGACAATGTTTGATCATTTGGGGGTATTTTTGGGGTATCTTTTTAATCTTTCGCTCGAAATCCCCCTGTAGGGGGACACGCCCGATTCAGACCCAGCAGGGGCCCCAGAGGCCCAAGAAACCGGGCCAGCATGTGCCGCCGCGCCTCGTTTGTTTTTTCTCACGGCGCGAGGCGGGCCGGGCTCCCCCTCCTCCTCCTCCTTCTCCTCCTCCTCCTCCTCCTCTTCCTCCACCTCCTCCTCCACCTCCTCCTCCTCCTCCTCCTCCTGCTCCTCCTGCTCCTCCCCCTCCCCCTTCCCCCTCCTCCTCCTCCTCCTCCTCCTCCTCCTCCTCCTCCTCCTCCTCCTCAAGCAGGTGACGGCTCGTCTCCGAGGCAGAGCATTCGTCGGACCTGAACGCTGTTATGCTGGACTTCAGCTGTGTTTTGTTTTTTCGTTTCGGCAGGGAGGTGCAGGAAAACAGGTAGAGCAAAACGAACAGCAAAACGAACAGCAAAACGACAACACAACGAAAACCAACGTTTAGGTCCAGCCCTGAGGCAGAGCATTCGTCGCCTCAACCCTCAACAACGACAGGGTCATGCGCCTGAGGGAGTTCAGGGGCCTGGCAGCCGCCGTTCACGTGAGCGAGGCGAACGCCGAGAGGCCAGATACCCCATCTCGTCATCCTCCAGAGGAGGAGGTGAGGAGGAGGGGGGAGGGAGGGGCCAGGGGGCGTCAAAGAAGGAGGAGGGACGAGTCGGGGGCGCCCGAGAGGGAGGAGCGGGAGGAGGGAGGAGTCGGGGGCGTCCAAGAGGGGGTGGAGGGAGGGAGGGGTCGGGGGCGGAGCGGGGGAGGGGGAGGAGTCGGGGGCGTCCAGGAGGGGGGGCGAGGATTAGGGGGGGACGGATCTTATGGCTGGAGCCATGATTTTTCATCAGATGTCATGTCCCCCTCTTCTTCTTCTTCTTCTTCTTCTTCTTCTTCTTCTTCTTCTTCTTCTTCTTCTTCTTATGATTATCCTTCCTCTTCTTCTTCTTCTTCGTCTCCTTCTTCTTCCTCTTCGTCCAGTACGTCCCTTGCCCCCCCCCCTCTGGGCCGCGCACGTCTCGGTCATGATTTTTGCGAGCCACCCCGACCTTGACTTCTAGCGGCTTTAGAAAATTCAGGCGACCGCAAACATGGATCAAGGGGGCGTGGATTAGCGACGGGTCCCGCTTCCACAGGAAATCGCGGATCTCCGCCGCCGAGCGAGGCGGCACTGGCCGCATTGTGAGGAGGGCACCTCCCCCGATCCGTGGATTTGGCGACCGCGCGCCAAATCCATGGATCGCTAATCCATGTTTGCGCGTCCCCGAAGGAGCGAGGACCTTGACATCTGGCGGCTTTACAGAATAGCGCTGAATCGAAGAAGAAAACATTACATAAACATAAACTTGTTGCGCTCCGCGCGGATTTCTTGGATCCGCGCCTGGGCCCCCAGGCGGCGCCTCCGGCGCCGCCCCTGGCGCGCTCCGCGCGCCATGGAGGGGGGTCAAGCGCGGATCCAAGAAATCCGCGCGGAGCGCCAACAGTTCAAGTTTTTTTTTTTTTTTCTTTTTCTACTGGAGGCGTTTCGCTGTTTTTGGCGTCTGGGGGTCCGCTTCGGAGCCCCAGGAGCGTCAAGCTTCAAGTCAGGATGGTCACCACCCACCAAACCACCCCAACCCAACCCGAAGGCTCAGATTTACCCTCGATTTCCAGTGGGGGGGGGGTCGGGAAACATCGAAAAAACACATGTGGAACCCTTACCCCCCCAAACCCGAAATTCGGGTCTTCGGGTTGGGTTGGGGTGGTCTGGTAGGTAGTCAGATGGGCAGTCGGTCCCTGGGAGAGGTCGAGCGTTCCAGGGGCCCAGCGAGTCGAACAAATCGAGTCGCCGGAGGTATGGGGGAGGCGGAGACGGAAGGGGAGAATGAGCAACCGAGCTCTTAATTTGCCCCGCTCGGGTCCGCGCTCCAGGCAGGCAGGGAGTGATTGGAGGATTGCTTCTGGTGTACATCCTGACCTGACGCATCTCTCTCCTCCTCCTCCTCCTCCTCCTCCTCCTCCTCCTCCTCCTCCTCCTCCTCGCATCACCCCACTCGGGTCCACGATCTGGTCAGCCGAGTCGGAGGGTGGCTCCAAGGGCACACGCCACACACTCTGGCATGATGCTGTCCAGAGCTCTGGCAGCGCCCCCAGCGTCGACGGGCCACGGGTCCGCGCTCCGCGCGGGTGCGTGAGCGCGATGCTGCAGGTGGCCTGGCCTAGTTGCTGTTTTTTTGTTCGGAGGGTTCTGCTCCTGTTCTTGAGCTGCCAGGCTTTGCGCTTTGGCTTTGCAACCCCGATCTACAGGGAAGGAGCATCTACTGATACAGCTGCTCGTCCTGGAGAGCCCTCGTCCTGGAGAGCCTTCGTCGCCGCGGCTGGATCCTCCTCGAAGTTCTGATCAGAGCGCACCCCTGAAGCGGTCCAGGGAGTACAGTCAAGGCGCACAGTAAGGAAGAGCACGTTCCCAAGCCACGGTAACCCCTGCATCCTTCCCCCTTCGGCCCATCCTTGGCAACTTTCTCTGGCCAACCCCTGTTCGAAGAACGTCATGACCGTCAAAGGCATTTGCATCCTTACCATGCACCCTTCTCATACGCGTTGACTGTAGCCTTAGGTCGGGCATGTCCTCCTACAGGCGGATTTTGGAGGACAAATGGAAAATAGCCCAAACATGTTCGAACATGGTCAGACATGGTCAAAACATTGTCCCCAGACTAGTTGTCTATCTTTGAAGATTCCTCAGGTAGAGGGACAGGTCCGACTCAACTGTAGCGGTATCGGCACCTTTTTGTTCTCCCAGATCCTGGCCCGCCGCAGTGCGCCCTGAGGGGGGTCAGCTCTCCCCGAGGCTAGGATCCACTAATGGTGTTTTTTCATGCTCTTTTCAGTGTTTTTTTTTTTGGTTGGTTCGTTTTTGCGGCGCGCGCCGGGCGCGAGCGTGGATCGTTGCTGTTCATTGTCGTTTTGTCGCATTTTGTATTTGTGTTTGTTCTCCTCTTTGTCGACGGGGGTTGCTGAATCGCGTGCGCGCGCGAGCCTGTGGCCGCGCGCGTCGTTCGAATGGTTCGCGGCCCTTGCGGTTGCGCGAGGCGGGGGCAGTGCGTGCCCGATGGCAAGCGCGTTGAATTTTGTTCCCCCCGGGGGGGTGCTTCCAGAGGCCTCCGGAGGTCCAGGCCGGGCCGCGCAGGTCGGGAGCGCCCCGCGGAGCGCGGGCCGACGCCTCGCTCCTGCCCGGTGCCGGAGGGCCGAGGCCATGCGGGGCTCACGCAGCGGGGGGGTCAGCGAGCGCCAACGCTTAGGTCGGGCCTGTCCCTCTGCAGGGGGGATTTTCGAGAATAGTCAAAGAATAGTCTGGGGACGACTTTTTGGCTATGATTTGATTAGTCTGGAGCCTTTTCGGATTGAATTCGATTTTTCGGCAGAGATCCGCCTGTAGGGGGACATGCCCGACCTGAGCCAACGGGGGTCAGCCAAGCCCTCTGGCTGACCCAGATTTGAGAACCGCGTGGGGCCGAGTCCCCCTTTCTGCCCTCCGCCGACCCGGGTTCGGGAGCTATTGAGGCGGCTGGCCGTGTTTCGCGACACGGCCTCGGACGACCCGGCTCTGCGCTGACCCGGGTTAGTGCGTCCCCGAGCAATCATCCTTGCACTTCGAGTTTTCGTGCCTCGTGTGGGGGCTTGGGGCGGAGGCCTGCCATGGCGCGCACGTCTGCGTGTACAGGAGCCCTCGTCTGCTGAAGTGGGCTTGACACGCGCTCGTGAAGACGTCGGTGCGCAGTGAATCACAGGACTGGTGCATATTCATACTCGCCTGGGTGCGCGGACCGCTGTTAAAGTGTACATTGGTAGCGGCCGTGTCCTCGTCTGGCAATGCACTGGCTTGCTGGCTGGGCCCCAGAAGATGTAATCCAGCGAGGAGGAGGGGGAGGAGGAGGAGGAGGAGGAGGAGGAGAAGGAGGAGGAGGAGGAGGAGGAGGAGGACTGACCAAGCTGCCAGGTCAGCGAGCGGGCCGCCATCGAGCAGTCCCTCGGGGACGTTGGCCGCAATTAGGAACTGCCAACGGGGGACGCACATTGCTTGGGGAACCCCCAACTCGCGGCCTGTTTCTGGCTGGCTGGCAACGCCATATCGAGAGTCCGCTCGGGTGTGGACGCCCTGAACACCTGCCTCTTGCCCAGCCCCTCCTGCTCCCCCAGCCTACCCCCCTCTGCCTCCCCATTCTTTGGGGGGCTAGCGCCTCCTTAGATTGCGCCCTGGGCGGAGCGGGGGTCACCGAGAGGCGACGCGGATGCGAGAAGTGCAACGCCGACGCTCGGGCCTGGACGCCTGAGGACAAGCAGAGTGGGGCAGCGAGCCTCATGCACCTCCT